TCCAAGTGATTCGAGTCTTTCCACAAGAGCTATCATCTTCAGTCCATGATCATGAACTGAAGAGCCCTCGGTCATACGACACCTGAAAAGCTCTTTAGATATCTGATATCTAATTTGTCGCGTCCGATCACCATACAACTCTTGCAGGTGAGTTAGGATTTCAGAAGCATTATTCAGTAATTCGTTCTGTCTCTGTAGCTCATTAGACATTGATGCTAGCATGTAGCACCGAGCTTGGAGATTGTCATCAACATGACGCAAGTAGGCTCCATACTCTTCAGCAGTCTGATCCTCCGGTGGAGGAGGAGGAGCTGTTTCCAAAACATACTCTCGCTTCTCAGACTGAAGAACAATCTTTAGGTTCCTCAACCAATCATTGAAGTTGGGACCAGTTAATTTATTATGATCAAGGATACTCGCGATTGGATTCTTAGCCATTTTAGTAGTTTGATCTACAAAAATAACAAACGAAGCAGAAAATAATTAGACTATGGAATTTATATTCATTTAATATTAGGTCTTTAACATTAAATGTCTCCCACTAATTTAATTAGAACCTCATTATAATTATGAAAATCATTATTTTCATAGTGGGCTTGAAGTCCAATAAAAATATTTCATGTCCCAATTTTATGATGCCACCATGAAACAATTTTATCGGTAGTCAACTTTTTGACAATTGTATCTCTATACAACCTTCAAGATGTTTTGCCTCACCTTTCCTTATATACCTCAATTTTATGACTCCATATATATTACTCGGTGTCAAATCAAACCCATCAAAACTTTCATGATAACGGCCCACCAGAGTGTCCCACGACTCATGGCCAACACAAAGAGGAATCCGTCTCACGAATATCAATATATTTAATAGAGTTCACAGCTTTCGACATAGAATCATCCCACGACTCGTGGCCAATGATAAAACATCGTAGCATCTCATGTCATCTACTTTTGATGGAAGGCCTGGATTAATAAGTTCCAACTTATTTTTATCCATTATTGATTTGATATGGAATTAATCAAATTAATCCGTTTGGGTTCCTTGATCTCATCGATTACCATCTTTACGTTTATTTACCAGTTTCAGTCATCTAATGAAACGAAAGCGTAAATAAACCTAACATACATCTAATGCATGGTGGGATGATCATGTCCTTTCCTATTCGATCCATTCGAGCCAAAATGGATCTATGCATATGTACGTGATAAAACAAATAGTAGAACTACTTCTATTACATTTATTCTATCTACCCGTACAAGCACAGGCCTTCGAGATTACAACTTGTAAAATTACCCACACATGCGTGGGCCTTTGTCATCGAACGGTCTCCACCTTGATCTAATCTCTAACGATACAAAATTTAAAATTTTACAAATTTCATCTCAAGAGACTCGCAGGTCTCGATAAATTACATTTCTTCAATCATATTGAAAACATAATTAAACATCCATTCATTCATTCAATCATATTGAAAATGAAAACATCCATTCAAACATAATGAATATGAGGCTCATGATCATCCCTAAAACATTCATCTAATGAAATGAACATAAAATATCAATTTATGAGTCACACGACTCGTGTGAGGGTCACACGACCCGTGTGATCTTATCACACGACTCGTGTGAAAAATACGAATTGAAAATCAAAATTTTTCCCAGACTCACACGACTCGTGTGGCTCGTCACACGACTCGTGTGAGCTCACACGACTCGTGTGACAAGGTCACACGACTCGTGTGAAAATCACGAAGCTAAAATCAAAATTTTTCTTCATGCCACACGACTCGTGTGACAAGGTCACACGACTCGTGTGGCTTAAAAACGATTTTTAATTTTATAATTAATATTTTTATCATATAAAAAATTAATTATATTGCTTATCTCATAAGTCTTAACAAATCAAAATCTGTTTTAAAGACGATAACCGTGGCTCTGATACCACTGTTGGGTTCGATAGTACCGTACGGGCTGTACGCAGCGGAATTTAAAATTTTTAAAGTAAGTATTTATCGTATAAATACAACACCCGTACATACTAATTGCGAATTAACTGATCGTCATCTTTAAAACATGCATCATATACAAATTTTGATTTGTTACTATAAAGTAAATACTAGTAAAAATATTTACCGAATGTCTTGAACTCCTTCACTATTGATGATGGATGAGGGAATCGGTTCCCGGTTGTAACTTCAACGACTTGAGGTTACTCGCTAGAGGAATCCAAGTGTCTTCCCTCTAAACGTATCCACCCTATGAAGCCCGGTTCCGACGACTTTCCTTCGCTAGTAGAAAAGACTCGGTTTTCTTGTATAGGAATATTTATGAATTTTATTTGGGAATTTTAAGAACTCTTTCTTGAAGTTTTATGAAGAACACTTTCTTCTCTTTCTAACACTTAGAAATTTAGGATCAAAAACTTCACTTAAATGCAAAACCATTTTGCATATATTTATACTAAACATTTTAGCATAAAATAATCAACATTTAGTAATATTAAATAAAATCAAATTTTATTTAAATAGTATTTACTAACTTTTGACTTTGAAAATAATAAGATATGTTAAGTAGTTCAAACAACCATCAACAACCATTTTATTATAATCATATTTATTATTTTAATCCTTAAATCATATTTAAAGATATAAATAATAATTGGATAATAAATCTTGAGAATCTTTCTCAAGACTTTATTATTATATCATTTTCCCAATATTATAATAATCATATTATTATTATTTTGGATTTTTGAAATTTAAAATCCTATTTTAAAATTCAACTTTATTAATTTAGTAATTACCTTAATTACTAAAGTAATATCCAAAATGTAATTAATCAATCTTATTGATTAATATATTCCTTTAATTGATATCTAATCAAATTAGATATTTATCAATTAATTCTAACCATTAGAAATACAATCTTTACCTTTGTTCATAATTAGTGTGACCTTTTAGGTTCACCTTAATACTAGTAGTGGGTTTACAACACTTTGTAATTTGAGTTAAATCTTATTAACTCTTATTCATGAATTAACCCTTTAATTTATGAACCCACATATCATGGTAACACCTAGCAAGTAGCATGAATCTAGTATTAAGTGAATAGCGAGTAAACCTATTCCGATTACAACTCCATACATGTAAAATCCTTTCGACATCTAATTTCCCGATTAAGTCTTGGGTATGATTTTGTCGAAACCCAAATTGACTTAATAACTATGATTCTATTTCATGTTTATTAACCCGGTTATGAATCACTATTCATCTCTGCCTTGGCCAAGGACTTTGGATTAATAACTATGAAACACATAGGAAATTCACTTATCTTCATAAGTGTCGAATCCTTTATTGGCCACTAACAAACTTCCATACATATTAACATAATACCCAACTTATCCCTTTAAACGATAGTGCTAGCTACCAAAAGGATAAATCAAAGTAGAATGTAATATGCACAAAGTTACCATTGTGCCTCAAGTCTTAGGATTAGTCATGTACTATTGTAACATGAAAATTCTTATTCGACTGAATAAATTCTTCATTAAGAATTTTCATACGGTCATGTTCAGTGAACTTGTTCTCTAACAAGCACCCACATAAATGTACTTACGTCTTACGCTAATGTTGATGGAATGCAACATTCTTGTCCAACAAGCATACAAACTATGTGCAAGTCTTTTATGGATTATTCGATATCCCATCTCGAAACATCCATCGACTTGGAACTGTATTTAAGATCACGGCTTTCAAGGTATGTTCCATGATCACCATCTCTATGCGCAACCATACCTTATAACCATAAGTGATCTAGGGATTTTATCTTAAGTGTATTTATAAGATAAATGCTTTCTCTTAAGATAAAGAAATGCCTTATTCATAATATAATTCCAATAGACTGTATTTACAAGTAGAATACGTCCAATCAGATTGGAACGCCGGGTACCCTACTCTAACACCCTCATTACTAGGCAATTCCCAACATCGTGTAAAATTATCCTAGCAATAGCATTAAGAAGTAGAGCCCGACAACACAAGCAACAAATAACTAATCCGTTAAATGCTAACTTGTATAACTATTTTGCCTAAGAATGATAACGCCTAAATCCGGTCAATCACCACACTTAGATGCTTCTTACGATAGATAAATTATCTAAATCCGACTCAATATCTACCAAGCAATAGATTAAGTGCACAAGACAATAGTTGATCAGGCTACGATCCTAACACAAAATCATAAACATAAACACACAAAACAATTAATACGAAATATGAATTAATAGATAAAAACTAATTAGATCTCACAGTATTAAGTTCGGGGTTTCAATCGTGTTCAACCGAAACAAAAGAGAATTAGCCGCGTAGGGCTTCCATAGAGTCTAACAAAAGTGTCGAAGAAAAATAGAACAAAGAGAAGAGAGTGTTTTTAAGGCTGCTGGTGGCGTCCAATTCTCCTTGTCTACTCCCTTGCGGCTGTTATCGTTCCGTTCAGTGTAGGTCTCCTAAAATCTGATATCCGCTGCTTCTGTTATGGCTGTCCTTTAGTAGCAATAATGGGCCTAGCAATAATAGGCCCACATCCAAAATAACTCGCAGCACTGTCTGTTCCTTAGAAGTCCAACATTGCCATGTCCATCAAAATTCCACTGTTGCCATGTTGGTTATAATGATCAACTGCACACAAAATTCCAACAATAGTAGTTTCCACTCGAAATTATAAGTTAAGGTCGAAAATAAATTAATTAAGCACAAATATCCAACATATTTCCTCAGTTACATTACAAAAGTAGCACGTATTTTCGACTTATCAGCAAACCATTATTCGTTTGACTAGGTGTAAATCGAGGACCTACCCAAATTGGGTTTGACTTGTGCAAACAGTAGTTGGTTTGACTAAGTTGTTTATTAATTGAGAACTTACTCAAATCGAGTTTAACTAATAGATAAATGGAGATATATAAAATCAAAAAACCTACCCAAATCGGGCCGACTCATAGTCGACCTGTTGGTCTAGTCCGAACCCAAAACGCGGTTAAAGAGAGAAATAAAATAAATAAACCGTCATGTGCAAAGTGCAAAACGGAGCTGGTTTGACTAGAGACAAAGCCTGCACTTTTCTCTCTCCACCCGAGTTTTTCTCTGTCCAGATTTTCCTTTTCTTCAACCGGCTGCCTCAATAATCTTCGACCCCAAGCGTTCGAACACTTTTGCACCGTTGAGAGTTTCAGATCCCCCTAACAAGACGCAGATTTATCTATTTTTGAAGTTGATTTGAGAAAAGGATGGCTAACCGTTACGATCCCAACCCTTTCGACGAAGGAGACGAAGTTAATCCATTTGCTGTGAGTTTTCCTTTCCTTTTTTCCTTTTGTTTTCACTTCTTATACTTCTATGAATGAGGGGCAGGCGTGTGCTCGGCTCTAGAATGAACTTCTCGTGTTATTATGGGTGAAGAATTTGAAGTTGAGAAAATAACTGGGGGTTTTTGAATGACTTTGATTGACTTGGTGGCTTGATACGGAAATAATTAAAGATCGGTGGGGGAGTAAATGGGATCTTTGATGAATTTGATTGACTTCGCGGTTGGGTCTAAGTACAGATTCTGTGTGGGGACTTTGAACTTTTGGGGTCTGTATTTGGAGTTGAATGCTCGGAGTAATTTCCACTGTTGAATTTCCTTTTTGAAGTTTAATTTTGCTAAACGTAGGGTTGAGGCATTCGGGTTTTTTGTTTTTTGGTCGTGAGATTTTGATGTTAGTTGTTTACATTTTTTTGCTTGAGGTAAGTTTCCTGAGTGTATGCGTAGCAACATGACTTTTTTAGCTTTTCTAATCTTATGGCTGTGCTTTATAAGCATCATCTTAATTCAAAGAAAGCTATTAGAGGTGAAGAGTTTGAAGTTGAGGAAAAAGATTGGGGTTTTTGAATGACTTTGATTGACTTCGAGATTTGGTACGGAAGTATTCAATGACAACTGGGGGACAAAATGGGAACCTTTGATCAATTTGATGGAGTTCGCAGTTGGTTCTAATTGTAGACTCTGCTTGGGGGTTTTTTTTTTTTGGTCTGGNAATTCGGAGTGATCACTGTTAAATTTATTATTTTATAGATTTAACTTTATAAACAAATTGTTGAGGGATTTGAGTTTTTTTTCTCTGTGCGTGTTTGTGTAATGATGTTAGTCGTTACATTTGTTTGTTTGATGTACTGTTCCTGAGTGTATGCGTAACAGCATGATTGTTTTTAGCTTTGCTTCTCTGGCTGTCCTTGATAAGCATCGATCTTAATCAAATAAAGCTGTTTTTATTTTGAGTAATATGTGATTTATGATTGATGAAATATGAAAGTTTCTTGCGCGAAAAAGGAAGTACCTAGTGATGTGTCTATACTCTATAGCATCAATATCTAAATGATGCTATATATGTAATCCATTGAAGATGTCAGTAGGTCTTATTGGTTGGTTCAGACTTGGTGATTGACTTGCTCATAATTTCTCGTGTCCAGGATGGAGGAGCAAGAGGAAAAGCATCTGGACAACCTAAGTTTAGTGGAGGCTCATTTTTTACAACGGTGAGTTTATTTTTTTTTTTCTCGTCCGTTTGAGAAGGAAACTCTTGTGTAAGTGGCAACTAGGAGAATTTATTGAGTAAATTATTCCTCTTTTTGTTTTTTGTTTTTTTTTTTTAAAAAAAATTGTTTTGATCCATAACCATTCCCCATTTTCCATAGAGTTCACAATTGCTACATAAGGAAATTCTTATTTTAATTTTTTTTTTTCCAAAGCTAAAAATGGGTTATGCTTGAATCAAGATCGAAAACTAAAACCATGACAATGGATGTTTCATTGTCTCAATTATGACGGTCAAGGCCAGCCAACGTGATACTTACAATGAATCAACTTATCATGAGAGATGCAAAGAATATCCTTTAAGATTTGGGAATATTAGCATCAAACTTATTTTTGTGAAATTCTTGATGAGTGATTTCCAGCCCAACTGATCATGACAATGCAATAGTCTTTTGTGCTCAGGAACACATAAGAGATCCACTACTAGATTTAGGGTTCTGGTTGTAACAGGCTTGGTTTCACATATGTGATTTAAATGTTCGTATTTGCATTAGCTTGTAGTTATGGTGCAACTCTTTGTCACGTTGATGCTTTTTATTTATTCAGACTGCTGGAAGTGTTCCACCTGTGACAAACTCAAGGCTTTCACCCCTTCCTCCAGAGCCGGCTGATTTCTACAATCCTACAGCTGTGGACATTCCACTTGATAGTGCTTCAGTAAGTGCAATTATTTTGAACTTGACCTGAGATATTGAGTTTCTCTTCTTTTATTCTTTTCTTTCATTTTTTTTCCCCCAATAGAACTGGCTTTCATTAGCTTTTACTTGTAAACAATTTGGAATTTAGGATTTGAAAAAGAAAGAGAGAGAACTTCAGGCTAAGGAAGCTGAACTGAAAAAGAGGGAACAGGTATGCATTATTACTTCTCTAATCTACTTGAACAGGTATTCTGTATTCATTATTACATCTTAATCTACTGGATGCGATTCTATTTGTTTTGCCTGGTGTGCAGTGCCACATTCTTTCAGGGAACTTGGCATGAAAGCCTCTGTAATAAGAGACAATTTTGTTCTGTAAATAATGCGTTTCACATTCTGTATTGCTGAAGTTAGTTTGGCATGTTTTATCTTGAGTGCATACCCTTTTTGGTTTTGCAATAAGCACCTTTCATATTTCCATGGAAGGATTTTCTAGCTGAAGTCTGGTTGTTTCCTTGACTATTGATCACTTGCGCATGAGAAAAAAATTGCTGTTGAAGAAAATATTTGACTTGTTTTTTGTTTTTAGTATTTTCTGCATGTTAATCGGTTACATGAACCATTCCAACTTCATTGACCAGACCATGAATATCTGTTCTGTTTTGGCGTAGGGAACATTGGATCTAGAATAGTATTTCCTGGGAAAAATAGGTAATTTTACATTTGTAGAATTTTACAAGAAAATTGATGATGCTTTGCAGGAAGTGAGGCGTAAAGAAGAGGCTGCTGCACGAGGTGCCTCATGTTGCCTTGTTGGAGTTTATTTACTACTTTTATTTTATTCTCTGTATCAAGAAAAGATTTGTCCTTGTCTATTTAATTTGATGGCATGGTTCTGGAGAAAGTGATTGAAACACGATTTCTTGCTTTGTTGCAGCTGGCATTGTTCTTGAAGAGAAAAATTGGCCTCCGTTTTTCCCCATTATTCATCATGATATTGCAAATGAAATACCAGTTCATCTGCAGAGGCTGCAATATGTTGCATTTACAACCTTTCTGGGTATGTAACATTATTTTGGTCAAAACATTTTGTTGTTGGGAGTGTATCTTTTACATTGGGTGAAAATCTTCTCTATTGCAAATTGTTATGTTTTCTGTTGGTGATCAGGACTGGTTATTGCCCTCCTATGGAATGTTATAGCAGTGACTACAGCATGGATCAGACATGAAGGTAGGATGTTCAATTGTTTACATTTTGATTTTGATTGTATTTTTAGGGGAATTTGTCTCGTTTGGAAATTGGAACAAACTTACTAATATAAATCTGTTTTAGGTGCAACAATCTGGTTTCTTGCCATCATCTACTTCATATCGGGGGTCCCTGGGGCCTATGTGTTGTGGTACCGTCCGCTTTACCGCGCTTTTAGGTTCGTGTTTTTTTTCTTTCTTCAAAATCAAATTTTACATTTCCTGTTGGTATTATTTTTCAGCACGTATATAATGGATTAGTAGTCGAGTACTATTTAAATATAAAAGTTGTGAAATGAGAGCTTATTGATTAATTTCCATCTCTCAATTATATAATTTGATGAGAATTGCTGAAAATTTTTTAATCGATAGGCAGTTTGACTTCATGGTCATGTTATTTTGCAGGACTGAAAGTGCCATGAAGTTTACTTGGTTTTTCTTGTTTTACTTGGTGAGTTCCCTATTTTACGTATCATTATCATTAATGTCACCATTTTCAACTGCAATTTTATGATAAAAAATTTGTAATTCGACGATTTTACAGCTTCACATTGGCTTCTGCATCTTTGCTGCTGTGGCACCTCCTGTAGTTTTCCGAGGAAAATCCCTCGCGTAAGCGTGACTTCGATTTTTTCTCCATCAGAGTTGCATTCATTATACCTGAAAGCTATTTCTTTTCTTTTCTTTTTCTAAATTATTATTATTATTATTATTATTATTATGGAGTATTTTACCACAATCTAACTTTTTTTATCTTTTTATTTTTTTATATGCAGAGGGATCCTGCCAGCTGTGGATCTTATAGGCGACCATGTATTGGTTGGGGTAAGTTTCAACTTTCAACTGCTCGTAGACATTATAAAACAGAGCTAAAAAACTAGAGAATTTAACAACCCCCAAAAATTCGAAAAAAACCCCAGAAAATTTAAAAGAAAAGTCTAATCTGAAATTAAAACTCTAAAAATTGACAAAATAGAACTAAAAAGTTGGATATTTTCCCTCTGTTTGATGAAATACTTTTCGTTAGGCGTTTTGGCACAAGGTTTTCGTGTAATTTTATTTTTTATTTTTTATTCTGCAGATATTCTACTTCATTGGGTTTGGACTTTTCTGCTTGGAGTCAGTTCTCAGCATCTGGGTCATTCAGGTTAACAAAAACATAACTAAATTTCCAGATTTACGAAGAACATACAAATATTGAGAGTATGTATATGATATTTACCATCTTTCTTATGATTACGCTTCATACGTGCAGCAAGTTTATATGTACTTCCGAGGCAGTGGAAAAGCTGCGGAAATGAAGCGTGAGGCCACTCGGGGGGCCTTGAGGGCCGCAATTTAAGATTGTGCTAAAATGTGTACTTACTCATCGAGATTTTAATTTTTAAAATGCTATCTTTGTTTTTTCTTCTTTTTTGAGTGAACGTTGAGGGAAGGGGGGGATAGAAGACGAAAGACTTAGACAACGAATCTTTATTCTATCTGTAAATCTTCATTGTTTTTTTACGTTTATTCCGTCATGTATGGTCCGAGTATGTTTTTGGTTTATTCCGTCATGTATGGTCCGAGTATGTTTTTGGTTTTCACTCTCGAGTTGTTCATTTGGGTTTGTTGTAGTGAAGGCATAATGAATTTCGAAACGAAAAGCTTATCCAATTGCATCTTTATGTATCTATGTACATTAGGTTCCATCAGTCTCCAAAAGACCATTTTCTTTATGTATAAAATCTACAGAAAGACGTTACTTTGTAAATGTAAAATCTGCTGTCTCCAATAGCAAGCACTGGCAAGAACTTATGTGCAGCCTTCTTTGAGCGGTGCTACAAAACCAAATGCCAGAGAATTATGCCCCGCTTTTTTTTTTTTTTCTTTTTTCTTTTTTTAGCTTTTGTGGTGAATAGTTCGAAATATAACCCTATATATAAACACATCAACAAAGATTACAGAAATCAAGCATCAGATTCACAACATTTTCATCTCAATAACATAGAAACTTAAAACGTTCCAAAAATGGGAGGAGCACACCTGAGTAACCGAGGAAAATGAAGGTGGCGATCTTATTTGCGCTTATGCATTCTTTATCGTCTGCAATTACTAGGAGCACAAGAGTAAACTCATCAAGCAATTTAGTTGAGTTTCGATAAGACTGACCAGCAACTACAGAGCTAGAATTCAAGAATTCTTGCTTCAAGATGATCATCTCTCTCATTCTCATACGTACATATCGACACCAAATGTGGGGACATTTTTCATATTAACCACAGAGCAGAATTAGTAAACAGTGATGAAATCATACTATCTCATTACACTTGGCCTGAGGATACAAGTGTTGCTTGTTATGCATCACTCAGACTCGTA